GGCAGCAAGGTGAAATATCGCTTTGGAGGAAAGTTCACAGACTCGCATTTTGAAAAACGCTTTCACTTTCTTCTTTTCAAAACTTGTTTTGTTCTTGGGCAGACAGCAGAGAGAACATATCGACGAAGTCTGCGTCTGAGTGCAGCCGGCTGTTCGAGTTAAAGTCAGTGCTCATTAATGCATCTGATTACGCTTTAGGCAAAGGCCGAACGGCAAAAAAAAAGCCGCACGCACATACAGAGCCGTCTTTGTGGGGACACAGATCAATACAAATGCACTTCAAAAGAGGAAAGAGGAAGATGTGCGAGGGAGAGGAATCCGCTGTTATCATAGACCACATGATGAGAATGTAAACAATAATAATAATAATGAGAAGAAGTGTATAAATCACAGTTTATTTCCTTACAATAAACAAGCCTCTTAGCTTCTTCCAAATGAGTCTGCAACTTTCAATTATTTATAGTGTTTTATTGTTTCTACTATTGATCATTTACCAATTTGTCTGTTCTTCAGATGATTTGTGCTGATCATTTTGTCAGCTGCTGTTTTCCAACGTTTAAACAACAAGCTCAACACAAATATTCGGTTTATCGTTGAGTTTATGGAAACCATGTTACTGATGAAAATGCAGCACTTTTATCTTTGAGGTGTGAAAAAAAGACAAGGCCAAGTTTTGAAAACACTTGCAATTTTCCATTGCTTATGTCAAAGTTGTTGAATATCCCAATAAAACGAGGACTCGGGAAATAAAATATAACATTAAGGAAAAAATGTGTTGGCTTAGGTGGGCGTAGGTGTGACGATGAGAATGAACTGATGTCTTTCTCTTTGTGTTTGCGCCCTTCACCCTCAACAGCTGGGACAGGCTCCAGCCGCTATCCCAGATTATCAACCTTTAATTGAAAAAGTGGATGGACGGGCAAACATTGTAATGCAAAAACAACAACACAATAAAAAGAATTACTATCAGCATCTGCTATCAGAAAACATTGGCATGTTTCAGGATCCTAAAGCATGGAAAGTCTGACTGGGAGCAGTCCTACCCCCACCTCCCAATCTGATGGACATAATCCAGTGCTATTAGCAACTAAACTGGCTTAATACATTCGACAACATCTGACATTCAACATCCTGAAAAGTCTAAATGGCCATCTACAAAGACTGGAGGGGATTGCGGAGATGGACACCACATTGTTTATGCATGTGCAATGCTGTGTTTATGCGCCTGGTCAGAGTGGTTCTATTTATCTCTAATCACAGTCAAATATGTGGAAGAAAAAAAGTTTCCAAAGGAGACTCCAGTGCAGATGGCAGCTATTCAAGTCACCCACCGCTCCCGAGTGTATGTGTGTCACTGCCACCATCTGAAATATTCCTCTGTGTTTTTGTGCGATGTGTGTTGGTTCATGTCAAAAGGTCTATCCCATAATAACTGACAGCTATCATTATCACTTCCTTTCTCTTTGATCTCTCCCTCTAATCCAGCTAATTAAATCTGCTAATGTCAATATACATTTTAATCTGCAATCATGTTTGATTGGACCTGTGGAGCCTCACTGTCAGTCCTCCTGCCAGCGAAAACCCAACTACTGACAAGCTTGACAGCCAGCCAATCAGAACGGGAGATGAGCCCTCCTCCACTGACCTATAGCCAGGAAACACCATTCATACTGACAGTTCATCTTTTTCTAGTGTTTCACAAAGTCCCACAGACAAATACATCTCTTCCTTCCCAAATATCCACAAGAGAGGGCTAAAAAAAAAAAGCTGTCGAAAAACGAAAAAGGGGAGGAGAAAAAAAAAACAAGGGAGAGAAGCTCTGATTGTACATGCAGAGTGGTAATTACAACTAAATTGAGGGCACATGGTAATCTATGTTAGGTCATCTCTAATTCCACTTACATTTCCACATTTTGGACTAATTAAAACCGTTAATAATCAGAGCCTGTGCGCGTAAGCGAGAGGGGGGAGAGGGAAAGCGGGAAAGAGGGAAAGAGGGAGAGACAGTGCATTTTCAGACGCGGCATCTTTGAGATGAGCCAGAGGAAGAATGTACCGTCACACTGCAGGAAAATTAAGTGCACACGCTTTGATTTTAACAAGACACGAGAGCAGATAACATTTTGGGGGGTTTTCCGTTTAAAGACACAGGAAAAAAGAGAGTGAGGAAAAGTGCTTCTCCAGCGAAAATGTTTCCAGATTGTAACGTGTTTAATTGAAAGGTACACTGGAGCAAAGTTGGAAAGACGGGTGACGAGGGGTTTTCGCAACTTCTGTTTTGTCCACTGCTTGGTCTATAAAACTGACAGAACTCAGAGTTAAACTTTCAGGGCTGCCTCTCCCCCCCCTACGGCAAACTGGAGCGAGTCTGGGAAAAGGGGAATTTGCTATTCTCCCAGCCTTTGCCCTTCGAGGTGCTGAAAGAGAACAGAATATGAATGGGAAGCGAGCGAGAAAACACTTCAGAAGATGAAAACAAGCCTTGAAAGCCAACTGCTGCAATAATACCAACTGCGGCATAAATAGTGGATGAACGCCAATAAAGAATGCAGGGTGGATGTCAAAAGAAGAGGGGCACAGACACACCGCAGTCACCTGCTTTTCACACAACGCTCTCAGCCCAGGGTTATCCATAGCCCTGGGCTGATTTGGCCCCGAGCTAACAAGCAATGAAAGCGAAAGCTCCAGTTTGTCAACCGTAAACAAAATTTGGAGACACTACTGAGCGTAAAAGCCATCCTCGGGATTACATTAGCAACTTTAAACCGTCATTATCATAGGGAAGGGCACACTGCTTCGGTATGATAATCAGGGTATGAAATTACACATCTCCCCTTTTTTTAAAAAAAAATTAAGAAAAATCTAACCAATGGCACAAAAGTGTCCAGATATTACTACCAAGATTTTGCAAAAAATACTGTGTACATTATAGCAATGTTACAACTACTGCTGCTGAACAAATAACAGAGTCCTTCAAGTTGCACAAGCCTATTCAGAAATGTTGCGCATCCCCCCCTGCAAAAAAACGTCTTGAACCATCACCAGAGCTTGATATGGTCTTAACACAGAGAAAACGAACCCTTCAGCGTGGCAGTAAAACCACAATCATGGCAAAAAGGAAAGCAAGACAGAAAGGAAAAGAAAATGTACGTGGGTGCACATGACAAAGAAAAAGTTAAGAGGGCGAGTGAACAGACCACACAGCAACATCCTGCAGCAATTTAATTATTCCATTTTGGAGGAGGAGGAGGAGGAGAAAGAGAGAAAAGATCAGAGTGAGTGAAAGGCTCATCCTCATCTGTGATTGATTAGGATAGACAGAAACTCACACCCACATTAACACACAACAGAAGCCAGCATGAGAAGAGGAGAAGTTTTACAAAGTAGTCTTAAGAGGCTTTCACTACACTCCCATGATTTTTGCAATTTATAGCACACTAAAACCCCAAAAAGCCAATCTCAGCACTTTCCTGAATCAATTCATGTAGTGAAGACGGGCTGAGCCCACACAACATTTCCGCAAGAGTTCAGTCTTTCATTTTTTGTATAAACCTTTCAGGAAAGCCTTTTTCCAAGCGCCCTCAAACCTTTTAGTGTGTCCATGACTTGTAGACTTCAGTATTAAGCAAGATCTTTGGCGTACAACAGCTTGAGACACCTTTTATATTCTTTAGGGTTGAAGAAACTTCAGAAATCAAAAAATATATGCAATGTAATTATACATAAAGAGGCATCAATAAGTGTTTCTGCATATTTCTGACTCGCTTAAAGATTGCAATTCTAAACCATTTTACCACAGAACAACAAAATCAGTTTTCTTCATATCTGAGAGACTGGAGCAGAGACCCTTAGGTAGCCTTTAAGCTGTCAGAAAGAATAAGTGCTTTCTGGGTCGTCTTAACTCCTGGCAAAGTTAACGACAATTTTAGGCCAAGCAAGCAGAGCGACTAGACATAACAATTCCCATATAAGCTCAGCCCATTTCTCTCTGCCCTGATGACAGGAAGCTAAAATAACTTCAGCGCCTTCACGTCTGAAAAATGACCATCTGAAATTGATACTGGTCCTCTGAAACGTTATAAGAAGCAATATTAATCTCTCACCTAGTGGTAATCGCTAATTTCATATACTATTAAGATGATGAATGGGATTTTAACAAACTGAGCTGTTGTTAAAAACTTAAAGCAGACCAATCCATCAAGGTCACGATTATTCATGGCCTCCAAAGAAATAGTAGCGGGAAAAAGGTGAAACCATTAGTGAAACAAGAACGATGGAGATAGCAGGTGGATAGGCACAGACAAGCCAAATAATTTAAAAGATAAATATTTTTTTAAACATAAACATTAACAATACAGTTTAAGAAAAAACACATCTATACTGGTAGAATTACACAAATCATCATCAGACTATGAGGAGAAAGCAGCTGGAAGGCTGTTTGTAGTAATTAGAAAAAAGCGACATCTAGTGGTGATTTAAGGTATGTCGCTTTATACTGCAGATGGTGTTTTTATCATAAGACAAGATGGCATCACAACAACTGAGCTTTCTAATGTCGCACTAAGTTAAAGAATTATATAAAACAAAATCAACTTTTATAGAGAATAGACCAAAAAGCGATTGAAAGGTTAGTTATCAAACATATAATGTGTGTATGTACACTGATAAAGATATTTTCCCTTCTTTAAAGAATCTCTGATGAGATTACCATATAGCAACAAGACAGACACTTGCAGCAAACTTTCATTGCGCCCTGCTATTTGCAGATTTGAGCTGCGTATTTAAAAAACACTACGATAAGGAGCACCTGCAAATGTTTGCCAGCCAAGCTTGAGTGAGAAAAGGAATATACTGAAGGACAGAAATGAATAAGTCTGTGTATCATTATAGATGGTGTCTAGCAAACCATCAAGACATTGACGTACTTATTGGAAGAAGGCGTACTGAGTGGGCTATAATAATGCACGACTTCTTAGCCTTAACCAAAAGTAAAAACTGACCATTTTGTTCTCTTGCAAGTAGAGTCTCTGCAGTTTAGGGCATCCTCTCGCCAAGGCCATGATGCCGTCATCTGAGATACCGTAGCACTGACCCAAGTGGATGTCTTTCAGCTCACTGCAGTGCTCCCCCAGCTGAGGTAAAAAAATAAATAAATTAAAATAAAAAAAAAACAAAACAGAGAAGTAAAGAAGATATTGCTCAAAATCTTCACTAAGCTGATATGACTGGAGTATGTGTTTGCTTTTTATTTAAACTAGGGGTTCATATCTACTGGATCTCGTTCGCAAACAATATGTACACAAATCCGCAAATAAACCAAGCGAAAGAACGCTCCAAACCCAAATCTGTGAGTGCCCATTATTTTCTTTCCTGAATTTGTTTGCACTCTACGATCCTCTGAACATGCATACGTGACGAAATGATGAAGGTTTGGCTGTCTTGAAAATGTAAACACACATTTTTAAACTTAATATTAATACTAATGCTGCTGATGACTATAAGTTTCTTTTTAGTGATTATTTTTTCAAAACCGCTTAAGAACAAAAGCGCTCAGAATTTGAATAAAATACACAATAAACTGAGATTACAAGCCAAGAAAGGAAAACACTGAGTATAAAAAGGCACAGGTTTTAAGCTTTTTTTAAAAAACATATTCTAATAGACATTATCTCATCTTATCTCTCTCTTAAAGATGGCTTCCTTTCTTGTTGGATGTCATCAGTTAAAGTCTAATTTCTTGGCACTATCCCACAGATGCTGAAGAATAATTGCTGTTGCTGAGTTACTCGTCTTGGGCTGACAGATCCTTGTCCTCCACCTGCTTTCTTCTTTTTGTTATGCTCTGGTTGTCTTTTTTTTCCGTTTCAAGTTTGATGTCAAATTGTTTCTTTTCACTTGAACGACAGTGTTTTTCTAAAATGAAACCGTTTTTAGCATCTCTCTTTCTTTCTTTCTTTTTTTCAATAAATGTGTTAAATTAAGAACGGGCACGCGGCAGTATGCTGATTGCAGCACTAACATATACACGGTGGTAAGAACAAAACTGGCTCGTTCACACGTATCATAAATATGACTGTAATTTTGCATTTGTACTGATCAGGACAAGAACATGTATATGCACATAAGTGAATGAGGCCCATTTGTGTGTCTACCCCGGTTCTGAATCCACACCTTTTTCAATGCTGCATCTGTCAGTTTGTCCTGGTTGCCCACATGCACCTTCACCAGAAGAGGGCAGTGTGTAGCCAAAGCACACAAAGAAATGTCACCCAGCTGCTTGCAGCGGTAGGCGGTATATTTCTGCAAGCCAGGACACTGTGAAGCCAGGGAGCACACGCCGTGGTCATGGACCGCCCTGCAATCCGAGATGTTAATCTCGGTCACATTCTGCCTCCGAGAAGCTATTTTCACCAGAAGATCATCATTTACCTGCAGAGCAAGATAACATAAAAAGACACAATAATCAGCACAGAAATCAAAGTTTCCTGTTCTTTCTGACTTTTTTGTAGACAACTGTGTCTCTTACTTGTTGTAGGCCACTGAGGTCGATTTGCTTCCAGAACTGGAAGTCCAAGCAGAGGTCCCTCCAGTACTTACAAACCAGAGAGGCACAAAGACAGCGCTCCTTTACTGTCAGGTGAGACAGCACCTGTGAGGGGAAAAAAAGGGTGTTTTCAGTCCCTTAAAAGCCATCAGACAACAATTCAGTTTTCCAGTGTCTTTGTCTGCACCAAACCATATGAAAACATTAAATAAAAAACTTCTTCTGACCTTAAGAAGGATGGAGGAAGGCAGATGATTGATACTCAAGTGATCAGCAGCTTCAGAACTTCTTGCCTGGCAGTCGTCATAGTTATGTGCGCAGGGCGGGGACGAGTCAGAACTGTGGGGCAAATCGGCGTGAAGACCCAACCCACAGCAGCCATCAGCAGGTGAGGAAGAAGAGGAAGCGGAGGAGGAAGAGGAGGAGGGAAGCGGGCAAAGGGGAAGGTGGCAATGGCCCGTTTCAGAGTTCGAGGCCGCCTCCCCCCCACCTCCATTCTCCAGCCCTCCATCAGGAGCAGCGAAGGCACAGCGCGGCTGCTTACAAGGGGTGCACCTTTGCACCTCTGAGCACTTCCTCTTACACACCTGCAATCGGACACACACGCACACACGCACACACACACACACACACAGACAGACAGGTCACTTGGAATCAGATTTTCAGGCAAATTTAGTTACAATTACAGAAAGAAATTCATGCTGTTAAATGTAAATAAATATGCAATACAGTTATTTGAAAATTATTAAAAGCCTATATTAATTAGGAATTAATGCTCCGAACCGGATGCCTACCATCTCTGTGTAATCGCTGGTGCAGCCGGGCACAGGCACAGGTATGGGCACAGTCACAGACACACCAGCGGTTCGGAAGAGGGCCGGTGGTGGAATTAGTTTGGCAGGAACAGCTGACAAAAGGCTCCTCCCCTGGCCCTCCCAGATAGCAAGTTCTCTCGGTGACAACAAGAACTTGGAGCAATCCTCCGGAGATGCGAGGGTCGCGTATCGCTCCGCAAGCTTCGTGGCAGCTGCCGCTCCGATGCCGACTCCGCCAACACCTGAGACGCTGATTCCCGTGATGCTGTTGTGTCGACACCCGTTGGCCTCGAAGTGGTCGCTCTCGTCGTCGAAACCACCGCTGTTGCCGTGGACGATAAAGCAGAGCATGCAGGGCCCGTGCAGAAAACAGTTCCTCTTCTTCTTCTTCCTGTGATGCAATTTGCGTGTCCTCTTCTTCAGGCGATAACCATTTTTCGAAAAAAGATGGCCCATATAGATGATTCAAGGAAACTCTGGAACAACAAAAAAAAAAAAGGATTGGTAAAATATATATATATATGTTTCAGCACTAACAGGAGGTCGAGCTAAAGGTGACAGAGTGGAAGACGCTCATATTTTCATTGGCAGTGACCAAAATGAACAGGATTACAAATCAGCATATCAGAAGGTCAGCTCAAGTCAAGCAGTTTGGAGGCAAAGTTGGAGAAGCAAGGCTGAGATGGTTTGGACATGTGCAGCACAGGGTTAGTGGATATAATGGACAAAAGATGTTAAATATGTAGCTGCCAGGCAGGAGGAAAAGAGCAAGACCTCAGAGGAGGTTCATGGATGTACTGAAAAAGGCTGTTGTGAGAGCGACAGATGCTAGTTTGTAATGATATGAAAATTCTATGAAAGTTGTAGTGTTAAGACTTGGCATCAAAAAATACGCAATGAAGAAAAAAGGATTCAATGAAAAAAAGAACTTGATAGTTTCCATCCTCAGTACTACGAATTTATTGTAGTCAGTACATAAACATAGCATAGGCGAATTATTTAGCCCCTGTATAATTAAGAGAACAAAGGATATCCTTTCTTTTGCTTAAAATGACTATTCAAAACATTGTTTTTATATATATATATATATATATACACATATATATATATATGATACTTTAATACATTTTTATGAG